TTCTCTCCTGTATGTAATTTTATGTGTCTTTGTAGATTTGATGATAAAGAAAATTCCTTACTACACACATCACACTTGTAAGAGTTGTCTCCTGTATGTGTGCCCAGGTGTTCCTGCAGCTCAGAGAAATAACAGAATTCCTTACTACACACATCACACTTGTAAGAGTTCTCTCCTGTATGTGTGCCCAGGTGTTCCTGCAGCTCAGAGAAATAACAGAATTCCTTACTACAGACATCACACTTGTATGACTTCTCTCCTGTATGTGTGCCCAGGTGTTCCTGCAGCTCAGAGAAATAACAGAATTCCTTACTACAGACATCACACTTGTATGACTTCTCTCCTGTATGTGTGCCCAGGTGTTTCTGCACCTCAGAGAAATAACAGAATTCCTTACTACAGGCATCACACCTGTATGACTTCTCTCCTGTATGTGTGCCCAGGTGTTCCTGCAGCTCAGAGAAATAACAGAATTCCTTACTACAGACATCACACTTGTACGGTTTCTCTCCTGTTTCTTCCTTTGAGGCATCTCCTTTATTGTACCTGAAAAAATGAGGAAAAGGACTCAAATGAGATATTCACCTGCACGAATCTGCACTATATGTGAAACTTGTGGACAAATATTTAATATTCACACCAGTTTATCACGTACACTAATTATATCTGGTGAATCTTTTACTAGTGATACAGCCAGTTTTTAGGTCATGCCAGTTTTGGTTAATGGTAAAAAAAAAGAAAAAGAAAAAAAACATCAGGAAAATATGGCTAGCAAGTATTGCCTGCATTTATATATGATACCCTTATTATGCATTTGGCAGACAACAAAACAGACTGGGTCAGGAGTGATGGGTAGGCCATGGAATCATTTTGAGCAAGATAAAAAGTCACAGTTTTTTTTAATGAATTGTATAATTGAATTCTGATTTTTCTGATTAAAATTCTGGTACTTTTTTAAGATTACAAGAGACTACCTGGTATGTGCAATTCTAAAAATACCCTGTGTAGGGTCACGCAGTCATGAACTATAACTTATTAATGGCCTCGCGGAAACATAAAACAGGCTGGGACCTTTGACGAGGATTTTTGCCACTATTTTTCATTTTGTTCCATATTTTACGTTCATACATGAAGTGACCGAGACCCATCTCTCTTGGCACTCAGATGAAAGACAGGCCAGTTGACGCCCCATCTATATCAGCCTATTGAATATGCATATTTTGAACTCGGTGATGCGCGACGTCACTGTGGCACGTCTCACCCGATATCCTAACCTTTCTGACACGCCCTTTACTTGTCATATTTATATATTATCCGCAGAACCGTATAAGTAATGACAGCAACTTGCCAATCTTTGTTGCGTGGGTAAAATCATCAATCGATAAATAAAGACATCAATAATGTTCTTCTCCGAAAGAGAAGTTTTACGTTCAAGCCTGAATCACGGAAAGCTAATTCCTTGCCTGCATCAACTACATAAAATATTGATGTTTTATTAAAGGTTGTGATAAAATATTTTTAAATTAGATTATTTTTTGCGCTGCGGATATCATGCTGTTTTGGTATACATGTGCTGTGTGCGATCACTGTGTTGTCTACCTGTGATTTATGTGTCTCTTTTACAGAGATAATAGAGTTTTCTATAGAGAAAGGATCATACAGATACAGGTCATTCTGTGTAAACCCACGACCCATAGTTGGGGTAGGCATTTTAATACTGTATATGATAATGTAAACAAGTGCTAATTGATCATCGAACTTGGCCAAGCACTTAAGGCATTTAACCCTGTGACCAAGTTCATAGAAAATCAGTTAAAATTTGTTATAGTTATTGTACGGAAACGAAACGCAGCAGATAATGACGTTTTTCATTATTCAAGGGGCTATAACTCCACGAAATGGAGTCAGCTGAAAGTGGTCATCGAACTTGGCCAAGCACTTAAGGCATTTAACCCTGTGACCAAGTTCATAGAAAATCAGTTAAAATTTGTTATAGTTATTGTACGGAAACGAAACGCAGCAGATAATGACGTTTTTCATTATTTAAGGGGCCATAACTTCGCCAAATAAAGTCTGCTGAAAGTGATCATCGAACTTGGCTGAGCCCTTTAGGCATTTAACACTGTGACCAAGTTCGAAGAAAATCGGTTAACTTTTGTTAATTTTTGCACGGAAACGAGCATGACAGACAGACAGACGGACAAACCCAAAGTAATATCCCCCGTTTCGGTGAAAGCGAGGGATACTAAATTATTGTGTGTGAAGGTATTAAATAGGTACTCACTGAAAGTACATCATGTTCACTATGTAATCAATTGTATTGTGTCTTTATAGGTGGTTTGTATGTTCCACATATTGTAGAAATAAATGTGTGAACCAAGAAATCTGCGCCGACCTTAACTTTCATTCCACTTTACTCCCTTTTTCTGCCATGATTGGGGCTTGAACTGAAATTCTGGGGAGAGTGAGTGGTCTGAAGCTCACGCTTGATTGTACACAGTAGTATAATGACTGTGCGCATTATGAGACACTATCTATCATTATTACAATGTACAGGTTATATTATGTATAACTATTTAAAACAATATTCAAAAGTGTAAGGTACATGTATGCAACAAGAGGCCCAATGGGCCTGCTTCGCTCACCTGGTATTAATTTCACACTTGTAATCTTAAAAGTGGACTAAAATACAGCAACCTACTAAAAGATTTAAACACATGACGCCTGTGTCCTTGAATGTCGAACAATGCCATTAGGTTTAGTGGATCAAGAACATGCATTTGCACAAACTTGGTAGCCCTTCATCCCAGCATGCTACATGCCAAATATCATCAGCCTGGGCCTTTTGGTTATTGAGAAGAAGTTGTTTGAAGATTTTAAGACATTTGACCCCAGTGACCTTGAAAGTTCGTCAAGGTCATTCATTTGAACAAACTTAGTAGCCCTTCATCCCAGCATGCTACAGGCCCAATATCAGTACCCTGGGCCTTTTGGTTATTGAGAAGAAGTTGTTTGTTTATTACTACCTCTTAATGCTTCAATTGGTTGATATCAATCAATTTGTTCTAGAGAAGAAGTTGCCTTAAGCAATATGGCCAAATTACCGCTTTTAGGTTATGCCCTTAGCCCCCTGGGGGGACAGCCACTCCATTTGTACAATTTTGAATCCCTACAACCTATGGATGCTCCTTGGCAAGTTCCAATCAGCAGTAAAAGAGGAGAAGTTGTTTGAGGAAATTGTCGACAGACATGCAAATTAAGCTTAATTCCCTTACCAATTTCCAGTAGCTACTGCTAAAGAGAGTAGCTACTGCAATCACACTGCGGCCACTACTGCATCACAACTTCTACTTTGCAGTAGGAATGCAGTGTGTCCAACATAGCAGTAGGTATGTACTGCAATACTACTGCCCTATTCTACTTCTGTTGCAGTAGTCTACTGCAATACTACTGCACAAACTTTATGAACACCGACTTTCTTACAATAGTCTACTGCAATACTACTGCACAAACTTTATGAACACCGACTTTCTTACAATAGTCTACTGCAATACTACTGCACAAACTTTATATCCACCGCCTTTCTTACAATAGTCTACTGCAATACTACTTTTGGTCTTAGTATAAAACTCTCAAACTGCAGTTGCTGGATACTACTGAAATAACACTGCACAGACTTGGTTCTGTGAACATTCTCATTATAAATGACCATGGCCTTTGGGTCCATCTGACTTCCATTGCAATCTCTACTTAAACAAGAGGCCCGGAGGGCCTGTATCGCTCACCTGAATATGTTTAAAACAAGAGGCCAAAAGGGCCTGCATCGCTCACCTGGTATTAATCTCACACTTGTAATCTTAAAAGTGGACTAAAATACAGCTACAGGCAGAATATCAGTGTGACCTTGAATGACAAACAATGACATTAGGTTGAAAGTGGGTCAAGGTAATTCATTTGAACAAATTTGGTAGCCCTGATTGCTACAGGCCAAATATCAGTACCATGGGCCTTTTGGTTATTGAGAAGAAGTTGTACGAAGATTTTAAGACATTTGACACCTGTGACCTTGAACGTTGGTCAAGGTCATTCAATTGAACAAACTTGGTAGCCCTTCATCCCAGCATGCTACTGGCCAAATATCATCACCCTTGGTATTTTGGTTATTCAGAAGAAGTTGTTCAAAGGTTTTATACATATTTGACCCCTGTGACCTTGAAAATGGATGAAGATAATTTATTTGAAGAACTTGGTAGCCCTTCATCCCAGCATGTTACTGGCCAAATATCATCACCTTAGGCCTCTTGGTTATTCAGAAGAAGTTGTTTAAATGTTTTGAACATATTTGACCCCTGTGACCTTAAATATAAGTAAAGGTCATTTTTTTGAACAAACCTGTTAGCTCTTCAACACAGCATGTTACAGGACAAATCTCATCACCCTAGGCCTCTCAATTATTTAGAAGAAGTTGTTTAAATGTTTTAAACGTATTTGACCCCTGTGACCTAGAATATAGGTCAAGGTCATGTATTTGAACAAACTTGGTAGCCCTTCATCCCAGCATGTTACTGGCCATATATTTCGATCACCCTAGGCCTATTGGTTATTCAGAAGAAGTTGTTGAAAGGTTTTAAACATATTTGACCCCTGTGACCTTGAATATAAACCAAGGTCATTTATTTGAACAAACTTGGTAGCCACTTATCCCAGCATATCACTGGCCAAATTTAAGTACCCTAGGTCTCTTGGTTATTAAGAAGTCGTTTAAATGTTTTAAACATATTTGACCCCTAAGACCTAGAATATAAGTCAAGGTCATGTATTTGAACAATCTTGGTAGCCCTTCATCCCAGCATGTTACTGGCCAAATATAATCACCCTAGGCCTCTTGGTTATTCAGAAGAAGTTGTTGAAAGGTTTTAAACATATTTGACCCCTGTGACCTTGAATATAAACCAAGGTCATTTATTTGAACAAACTTGGTAGCCCTTCATCCCAGCATGCTTCTGGCCAAATATCATCACCCTGGGCCTTTTGGTTACTGAGAAGAAGTTGTTTAAAGTAAAATGTTGACGACGCCCTTTGGGCCAGGTGAGCTAATAATTGGTATGAAGTAAATTTCAGAAAGATCCATCCAGGACTTGAGATATAGCGAGAACAAATTTCAAACAGATCCCTTCCCCTATGCCCCTAGGGGAGTCATACCCACCGTTTATACAAAATTGGTTCCCCTTCACCAAAGGATGCTTCAAACCAAATTTTGACAAAATCCTGTCATTCCTAAAGAGGAAGAAGGATTTTGAAGAATTTGCTATGTTTCCCCTATCGGGCACCTCCCTTCTGCCCCAAGAGGGGCCACACTTGCTGTTTATACGAAATTGAGTCCCTTTTGCCAAATGATGCTCCAGACTAAATTAGGATAAAATCCCTTAATCCCTATGGTAGAAGAAGGATTTTAAAGGTTTTACCTCTATTTCACCTATTGGGCCCACGCCCCTCAGGCCTCTTGGGGGCCAAACCCACGGTTTATACAAAATTGGTTTCCCTTCACCAGAGGATGCTTCAGAACAAATATGGAACAAATCCCTTCATTCCTACAGAAGAAGAAGGATTTTAAAGAATGTGCTATATTTCCCCCATTGGGCCCCGCCCCTCAGGCCCCAAGAGGGCCTACACCCACCATTTATACAAAATTGAGTTTCCCTTCACCAAAGGATGCTTCAGAACAAATATGGAACAAATCCTTTCATTCCTACAGAAGAAGAAGGATTTTAAAGAATTTGCTATATTTCCCCTATTGGGCCCCGCCCCTCTGCCCCAAGGGGGGCTACACCCACCATTTATACAAAATTGCGTCCCCTTTTGCCAAATGATGCTCCAGACTAAATTAGGATAAAATCCCTAATCTCTACGGTAGAAGAAGGATTTTAAAAGTTTTGCCTCTATTTCCCCTATTGGGTCACGCCCCTCTGACCCCAAGGGGGCCACACCCACCACTTATACAAAATTGAGTCCACTTGGCCTAAGGATGCTCCAGACCAAATTTATTCGAAATCTACTTGGCCGTTCAGGACGGACGACGGACGCTGCGGTATGGCATAAGCTCACCATGGTCCTTTGGACCAGGTGAGCTAAAAATGTGAATTGAGGATTATGGTTTCAATAGATTACATCAGATAAGGAAATCGAACCCCGGCCGCCTTGGTGAAAGGAAAGTGTGCTACCCACTGCACCACCCGTCCTGCATTTGGGTAACATCTTTGTATGTTATGGTTGAATGCACTTCGAATCTACTTTCACTATCCTATATAAAAAATCAAAATTTTGTAATTCACTTATGTTATTGAAAATCGCCATATCTATTGGTTATTACAAACAACTTTTGGTTGAACAGTTTTCGGTTTTGAAAGTATTTCACGACCTTGAAGCCTTAGAAAAGTCGGGACATCTAAAATCACGAAAATGTCAAAACACGTGAAAACGTTCAACCAAAAGTTGTATATAATAGCGATTTTTAATAAAGATAGTGAAGTTCAAAATTTTGATTTTTTATATAGGATAGTGAAAGTAGATTCGAAGTGCATTCAACCATAACATACAAAGATGTTATACCCAAATGCAGGATTATTACCCATATGCGCCGTTGTGCCCAACCTGTTTATAGCTTGGTGTTTGATAAAGAACTGTTCCTTAACTCATTCACCCCTGAAGACACATTTGAACACTTCCAATTCAAAGGTTGGAATAGTCTATTATGAAATTTCAGGGGTGAATGAGTTAACGAACAAGATCAACATGTGTTGTACTGCAATGGGGGACACATGTACATCAACATTGGTTGTTAAATTCGACTGACATATTATGGATGATCCAGTTAGATATTAACACACACCAATCGGGGACATTAGTAGGTGGTATCACCAGGGGAGGCCTGCTTCTTTGAACACTAAATCAAAATAGACACACGGAAAGAAATTTGTTACAAAATATCTGTTCCGAATTTTTTCTTAATACAGTTCTATGTTACTAGTTTTTGTTTCTATTTGAAGATTGTGTACATGTCTATGGCATTCCTATATGAGTACGAAATCGCGGCTGCTTCTTAAGTGCGCTGAAACCGATAACACGAGGATACCGCGCGTGCACGAACGAAACGCTAAATAAATAAACCTCGGACTTAGAAAGCAGGGTCTAATCTAATTCGGTGAATAAACAAATAATGTTTTAAATACGTCGGTCATTTTTTCTTTCGATAGTTTGGTGTTGCAGACTGCTTGAAGTTGAATGAATAAATAGTTTGG